ATAGCAGATGGGTTGAGTTTTGCAGTACCAATTGACTCGGTTATCAAAATCATAGAGCACTTCAAGGAGAGTGGGTATATTCTGATTTTCTGTGTGGAACTATTTAGGTGCCTAGATACACATGCATTGCATACATATATAATATGACATTCAGAGCATTTTTGGTTGATGGAATGGTTATTCCTTGATCAAAATATAAAATAAGGTAAATTAGATGGAGAGCCTAGCAAATTAGAAATTCCAATTCCCTGCTTTTACAACTTTTCTTCAAATAAGTTGGAAGGAGGAAGAAATAGCTAATCACGTCTCCCTCAAGGTTTTATCTATTTCTGCTTCACACTCATTAGAAGAAAAAATTGGTGCAAGCATGGGATAGCTGCTCCTAATGTCTTGTGCTCTCTATCTAATTTACCTTACTAAAGGAAGATAACTATTTTGACGAACCTTTTGAAAATTTATTACCTTTAAGAACATATTTGAAAATTATATTGTGATAGTGGGTTGTTCAGGAGTGATGGTGAAACTTCAAGGTCTTAAGTCAACTAGTATATTGAGATATAAAATTATTAATATTGAAAAATTTACACGTATTTGGGAGATGATAATGAAGAAATGTCAGCATTTTAATGATGTTTGATTTTTTTTTAACAATTATTTCTTTGAGGTTATTTATAGCTAAATGAATTTTAACATAAAGTATTTATGATAAATAATTTAAACTCATTGTGTGAAAAGTAATAAATTTTAATTTTGTCAAATTTAACATTATAAATGTAAAAATTCGTTACATATTAAAATCAAATTAAAACTAGAGAATAAAGGATTATGTTAAGAGCTTAGCACAGATTCAATGGTGGAGCGATCGTATAAGTATTATAAAATGAAAAAGAAAAGTAATAAGATGAGAAATAAAAGAGAAAATTTATTATTTCACCACGATTTATGGACCTAGACACGTGGGAGTGTACATGTGGCAGTTATACATTATAGGACAATTAAATGGCACTCTTGAATGGCCTTTAGTGGGACCTTCTTAGGAATCAAACAAACCCTCAAGCCAACCCCCGTCACTCATACTGGTAAAATTGGCTAAAGTATCAGATAGCATTCGGACTATGTACAAACGGCCGACCAATCCGCCAGCCGACGCTTGTCCTAACCCGGCCGCTGGCTGTTGGGCTGGCATGCACCCAGGCCAAGCATGAAGCAGGGACCCGGTGTACCACTGACCCTGTGCAGGAGTAGGTGAATGCCACAAGTGTGGTGGCTGCTGTGGTGGGTACGCACCCTGTTGCGGGAAATTGTGTGGGTACGCACCCTGTTGCGGGGGATTGTAGGGGTACGCGGCGGGAGGCAGAGGTTGGTATCCGGCTCTGGGCCTTGCAGCAGGACATGCCTCCACAGGCGTTTCCGCAGACGTCCCTCTCTCCGTCTCATGCGGTGGCGCAGCAACAGGAACACTGAATTTCTTCCCAATTTTGCAACACAACTTCAGTTTACCTTTCTCCTCTCCATTTGGCAACCTGACGTTGTGATCGGAAACCTCCTCTTTGCAATCAAGAAATTGCTTGATAGGCACCCTCACCTCCCCAATATCCTTATCGTGAAGGAGACGATCTGACACGAGTCGGATCACGAGGTTCATCTGTTGGGCGGCGGTTTCTTCCACGATGAATGTTATGGTGTAATTCCAGTTGGGATTGGAACCGCAGTTCTCGTCGGCGGGGATCTCCAGCTTGGTTTGTGGGTCGCCGCTGATGGTGACGTCGGCGTAGACGCTCATCTTGGTGACATGATTGACATACTTGAGGTCCTCGGCGGAGATTAGAGTGATCTTTAGAGGCCAGTACTCCATGTTTACGTAAAACACAGATTGAGAATTGAATTGGGAATGAGATATACGTTAATTAGGGGAGGAGATTGTATATAAAGGAGAAATAGAGAGTATAGAGTGGTCTGTGAGAAGATGAGGTAGGGGTGGACGAGCATCGCCACACGTAAAGACCGAGATATCTTTGGCAAAAACTCACTTTGAGCCCCTCACCTTACAAAATTTAAAGTTTTTAACCCCTTACCTTATACTATAACACTTTTAACCCCTTACCTTACTAGATTTGAGGGTTTTAGTCATTTACCTATTAGAATTGAAAAAAATAGCTCTTAGTTTAGATCAATTGTTAATTTTGTTAACTGAAAGTAGATTTTATCAACTAACAGTCAACTAATAATCAATTAATAAAATTAACAAAATATTATAAAATTAGTTTTGTTAACTCTGTTAGTTAAAAAAAAGTTTTTGACAGCTAACAGTCAACTAATAGTCAATTAATAAAGTTAACAGTTAGCTAATAAAACTAATAAAATGTTACAAATTGAGGGTTATTCTCTTCAATTTTAATAAATGAGGAGCTAAAAATATTATAGTATAAGGTAATGGACTAAAATATACATATCTAATAAGGTGAGGGGTTCAAAATGTCATAGTATAAAGTGAGGGGTTAAAATTTTTAAACTTAATAAGATAAGGAGCCAAAAAGTAGAGTTTTACCGATATTTTTACTTCAGACTCCTTAAGTTAGCCCTCAAATTTGACTTCACGTAATTGCCTTTGTTTTTTTTTTTTTTTTTTGGGTTCTTATAACGTAATTTTGATATCTTCCTCAGCTGCTTTGCTTTGATGTTGTTTTTTTTATTGTTGTTGTTTTTTATGCAAAATATAAGATAAAGACAAAATATTTAATTTATTTAATTAAAATTAATAATTAATAATTATTTATTAAAATTCAGTCAGTTTACTAGACTAAAGCATCTTGATATCACTTCTTCTCGATTTTCAAGCCAAGTTCCAAGAGAAAGTGCTCACCTCCCAAAGTTAGTTTCTCTCAATCTCTCTAATTTTTACACTTTTGATTCTAATTCTTATTATTTGGATTCTTCTCATAGATTGATCCTTGAAACAACTACCTTGAGAAGTCTTGTTCAGAACTAGAGTGAGGTGAGAGAACTTATGCTTAGTGGAGTGAACATGACATTTGTTAATCCTCGTTTCTTCATGAATCTCTCTTCTTCTTTGACTACTCTTGATCTTTCCAAGAGTCTGTTAAGAGGAAACTTTCCAAACTATATTTTTCGATTACCAATTCTTAAGACATTTCGTTTAGATGGAATCGAAAACCTCACCATTGATCTTCCAAGTTCCAATTGGAGCAGTCTTCTCCAAAATTTGTATTTAGGTGTTATGGATTGCGGAGGGCGATTGCCAAAGTCTATAGGAGATCTAAAGTCATTACAGTTTCTACGTCTTGGCTACAACTTGGAAGGTTCCATTCCAGCTTCCATAAGGAACTTACCCCAACTTGTTCACCTAAGCCTTTCTTCTAACAATCTTAGCAGACAAATCCCATCATTACTTGCAAACCTCACCCAACTTAGCCTTCTCGACCTTTCAAATAATCAGTTTTCTAGTCCCATTGCTTTTCATGTAAGTAGGTTTTCCAAACTAAGCTGTCTAGACTTATCTTATAACTTACTTAATGGCACATTGCCACCTTGGATTTTCACCCTACCTTTGTTAGAGGACTTGCTACTCAATCATAACCAACTGAAAGGTCAAATAAATCAATTCTAGCAAAAATCACTCATACAACTAGATTTGTCAAACAATAAACTCCAAGGCTCAATTCCTAACTCAATTGCTAATTTGGTAAATCTTAGTTATCTCGATTTATCATCAAATCATTTTAGTGATTTAGTAGTATCTGACATGTTCTTGGCGCTTCAAAATCTGGAAACCATCATTCTTTTATACAATAATCTGTCCTTGAGAATGGATGTCAATGCCAACTTCACATTACCCAAACTAATTGATGTTTTCTTGTCTTCTTGCAACTTGATTGAATTCCCCAATTTCTTAAGACATTCAAATGGTCTGCAAAGCCTAGTGCTATCCAAAAAGAGCATTCATGGAAATATTCCCGAATGGATATGTGAAAAGGATGATCTCAAAATTCTTGACCTTTCACATAACAATTTAATCAGGAAGATTCCAAATTGTCTTCCTAAGTCTCTCATAGTGTTGAATTTGCATGCCAATTACTTTGATGGAAATATACCATTTGAGTTTCCAAAGGGCTGTGGATTACAAAATCTCAACTTACATGGAAATAAAATGGACAGGCTATGACCAAGGTCTCTAGTGAATTGTAGCTTCCTAGAGGTTCTAGACGTTGGCAATAACAACATAGAGGATACATTCCCTCATTGGTTGGAATCTCTACCGAACCTTCAAGTGCTTGTCTTAAGGGCCAACAAGTTCCACGGTATTGTGCAGAGCACCAAAGAAAGTCCATCTTTTCCCAAGTTACGAGTTCTGGATCTCTCCAACAATGATTTTCTTGGTCCTCTGCCTATTCAGTACATGGAAAATTTTAAAGCGACGATGGACCCTCATGGAGAGGATGGTTCCCCTGAATACATGAAGGTGCAGACGAGAGCCAATTCTTATCATTATCAATATTCATTGGTTGTGACAATGAAGGGATTCGACTATGAGCTGCAGGGAATCTTGACCATATTCACTAGCATTGATCTCTCAAATAACAAGTTTGAAGGAGAAATTCCAAATGTAATTGGAAAGCTTAGTTCTCTCAAGGGGCTTAATCTTTCTCATAACAACCTTACTGGTCCTATCTCACCATCACTAGGGAATTTGATGAATCTAGAATGGTTGGATCTCTCTTCCAACGAGCTGGCAGGAAAAATTCCAGATGAATTGGTATCTTTGACACAACTTGCCATATTGGATCTTTCAAATAATCATCTTGTCGGACGCATACCACAAGGCAATCAGTTCAGCATTTTTGGAAATGATTCTTATGAAGGAAACCTTGGATTGCATGGAATGCCATTATCAAAATCTTGTAATGGAAATGGGACACTGCCAAGCTCCTTCCAAGAAAAAGTTGAGTTCTGGAGATTTGGCTGGACGGTTTTAGTGTTAGGCTATGGATGTGGAGTTGTTTTTGGACTGCTGGTGGGATATCATGCCTTCCGAACAGGAAAGCCAAAATGGTTTGTGTCTTTGTCTGATGGCCAATCAAGTCAAAGTGGAAGAAAGATGAGGAAAGCCGAGTTGGTGTTTTAGAGCTTTTGATATAATTTGAGGAAGAATATGCCAATGAGCAAGAACAAGGCAACTGGTGAAGACACTGTATTTTTTATTTTTTCCAAATACGAAAGTTGTTATTCATAGACATAAGTTGGTGAATCCGTTCAAGGGCCAAAGAGCTGCTAAGTGTTTATGAGCTGTTTGAATTTTTTTACATTTTTTCTTTACTTGAGTTAATTATCTCAATTGTGTCACCATTGCAGGAAGAAAACATACCCGTAATTGAAAAAGAAAAAAATAGGAAAAAGTGAGTTTTTCCTCTATGGTGGTTTTATGAAAATATGAGTAAAGAAGACTTACCCTATAAATATGAGTTATCCTAACTGATTTACTTTATAAGTTAGAATTGTATTAACAGTTACTAATGTATACCATATATATATACATAACCATGTAACTTTTATATATCTATTTTCTGTATAAATATCACATAGTAATTCATGTTTTTTAGAATTATTATTCGGTGTTTGGATAGTCCACTTAATGGATTCAATGAAACCAAGTGATAAAAAAGGAAGGCAAGGCAGGTGGTGGAGCTGGTGCTGATGGTAGTGATGATGCTTTTGGCAAGAGACCCATTAAACAAGTTCAACTTTTTCAGGTATCATTCTCATGGTGATCCCATTTTGGTATCAAGTAATTTTTTCGTTTTAGTTAAAGTATTAACATTCTAAAATAGTTGTAGACTATTATTATTTTATTGTTTTTGCAAAAACTATCCATTCCTGTTGTTAGGTTTCATCTGTCGAGATTATAAAATAATGATATAATATAATATATATATATATATAATATTAATTAAGGATTGATGGCACTTGCAAAGTAGTCTTAATGGGCCTACCTAGCCCAAAACAACAACCATTGAAGACGTTTTATATTTATTTTCACTTTTGTGCTTCTGTTGCTACTCCATCGGAAATTGCAGGAAACCAATCCCTTATAAAATAAGGGTTTGTCTTACTTGTGTTTTTAAAGTACAGATTAAGATATAATAAATATATTTTTA